TAGATTAATATGTAATTTGCTTTCCAGCTAGTGTATGGGACAAAAAAATAAATAAAAATAAAAATAACACTAGCACTCCCCATAGGATCCACGTGTCAGGATTTAATCCCTTTTCATTATGATTTGAAGATTAACAAATTGTCAGCAGTACATTGGTGTTATGGTTTGTGTCTAGTTGTCCCCCCAAAGCCTCATGCAGTCATGGGGCAGACTTCTAGACTCTGTGGTTAATTCATGATCCACTGCTGGGATAATGGGTGCGAGTGCTACCCCCAGCCTGAGTCAGATAGCTTGAATACAACATAATGGAGACAGACTTGCTTACCACTGCCCTTGTCATTACTCCTCCCTTTCGCTCTTGCTGTTTTGCTGTTTTTTGGCTCTAGGAATGGTTTCCCTGTACCATATGCCACTCTGCCTTGGAGCCAGCTGAGTGTGGAATGAAACCTCCACAAACTGTGAGCTAAATCTTTCCTTCTTTAAATTTGGGTGTCGAGTATTTTGTCCTAGCAATGAGGAAAAAGTAACTGAGACAACTGGGAAACACTTAAAACAATCAACTAACAAAACAGCATGAATGGTTTGATGCTGGGGAATCAGACTAAAATGCAAAAACTCCCTGTATGTTCCTGATCACAGCTGGAAGCCCCAGCGCTAATGACTGCCATGGTGCTCACAAGGCAAGACCTGCTGGAGATGACAAGGTACCTGGGAAAGCTACAGTTCCTCACTACCCTAGTCTTGCAGTTTTTCTTGAAAGAATGCTTTGCTCTTCTGCTTAGCCCACCATTACTGTTCCAGAAACACCTACTGCTCTTCACCCACTGTCCTTGACTCAAATGTAATCAATAAATACCAAGGCTCCAGGGCCTCATGTCCTTTTGTTCCAGAGAACAACTAGTTACCCCAGATCCCTGTCTGCACCCCTATTTTGTCTCTTATTCTTTCTCCCCCACCCCCCGTGTGTTGTAAACACTTGGCAGGAGATTAGGGACTCAATGCAGGGGTCCCTGATAAGTGACACCCCTGAAAAGCTGGAAAAAGTCAAGTTTGACTTCTCCTACTCATGCTAGTCTCTTTCAATAAAAAGTTTTAAAAATGAGTGTCACCTTAAAAATAAAAGGTGAAAGAAGAGGTATACGGCGGAGAAAAAAAGAATATGCATGGAACATCTACTACATGCCTCCTACATGCATAACATCTTGCTTCAGTCATGTGGACCTTTCTAAAGGTAAAAAAGTAGCAACACAAGGGACAGAAGCAAGTTTGGATTATGGTGCCATTACTTTATGATGTCAAATGCAAATGAGTAGAATGAAAACAGTGCCTCTCAAGTACTAGTATCTGCACAGTGAACACACCATAGATCCCTACCAATAGCACTGGTATGATTTATGTGGCTTAAAAAATGAGACGCTGTGGGATCTTAGTGGTCATATTGCAGAAGCTAGTGCTTTTAGGAAGTGGTATTCCAGGAGAGTAATGGTTTGAATTGGTTGTACCACACAGTAAGAGACCTTGATATCACCAACATATCATTTTTAAGTCATATAAATCACACTTTGATATGCATGTGCCCCTTCACAAAATACTACAATAGCCACCGTGTCAACATTTCTATATTCTATCATTAGCATACTCTGGAAGCGTTTCAAACATTTGCACTGTTAACTATAACCATTCCTCCTCTGTATCCACACTTGCTAAGCTGCAGCTGTGGGCAGCAGGTGGAGCTGAGGATGCTGTGGCCAAAGGCAGCATGGCCAGCAGCACTGGCCTCCTCACTATGTGGGGCATGTGATAAAAGAAAAGCTGTGAAGTGGGTAGGAGAAAGAGTCCTGGGTTGTTGTTGTTCCTGAGCACCTGGAAATGTCTTGTCCTTCCTGTCCTCATCCTAAGTATGTGAAAAAAAATACAGACAGACACGGGAGCAGAAAAAAGAGGAGGGAGTGCCTGGGATACAGCTCAGCAGAACAGTACCTGCCTGGCAAGTACAGGGTCCTGAGTTCAATTCCCAGTACCAAAAAAATGGGGTGGGGGAATCCTGCTAAACATTAACCTCATTTGTGAGACCTATACACAACTGAGATGAGTCATTTCATAGAATGGCTGACTTCTCCCCTGCTGCAGGGGAGATTCAGCAGCCTGGTTCTGAGTTTGCCAGAGACCAGAGACACTGGAGAAAAATCAACTTCTGAAGTCTACTCATTGCCTCAAGTATGATATGTGTGCTCTTAGCTTAAAATTGGGGCGTGTCAAGGCTTTTGGGCATGATAAAGGAGGGAAGGTGCTGGAAGTAGTATAATGGAAAAGGGAGAAAGTAATGAGAGTAATATACAACAGGGAGTTCTAATTGCCTGCGAAGCAATTCCCCACAACTTTTCAAGGGGCTTCTGAAGAAGTAAACATGGAAAATAACTCAGCTCCCAAAAGCATCTCTGAGCCTATTCTCAGCCTGACGGAGAGCTGCAGCAGAAGGCATGCCCTCTTCCACACAGTCATACAAAAACACAATTATCTTCAGGAACTGCATATCACTGCCATCAAAACCAGCTCCCCTTGCACACACACATATCTTCTGAACACCCTCACAGACACCAACAACATGGATTCCCTTAATTCCATGATTAAGAATTAAAAAAAAAAAAAAAAAAAAAAGATGCCTACACATACTTAAAGCATCCAGATTCCAGACTGTTTAAATCAAGAAGCAATTTGATTTAAGGAAGGTTCTTTCCAATTCTCCTTTTTTAATCCCAATCCACCCATCCTCCATACCCTTCTCCTTTTCATTCCCTCTCATGGCCTCACACACTGAAGGGCAGGGGCACTTTCTTTTATTTATAAGTTACATTCTTCCATGTTTAAAAGAGAAAGCAAGTACAAGTCTGAGGCACATGGAGGACAAGCTACATGACAACAAATAGCAATGCTAATATTTGTTGAGCATTTATTATCGGTAATGCTCTCAGCACTTTACATGCACTACCTCCTTGAATCCTTTAAACAATCCTATGAACCACGTACTGTAATAAAATTCATTTTCCAGATGAGAAAATCAAAAGCAGAACAGATTAACTCACTTGCCTACAGACACAGACCTAGTAGGTTGCAAAGTCTAAATGTGGACCCAAATTGTCAGGTTTGAGAGCCAAAGGTAAATAACTAAATCACTTAGGAGACACTCTTACCTTCCATGAACTTCTGATTTAGGCTAAAAGGCCATGCATATTGCAACTGGCATAGTGCAGAGGAGACCACTGCCACAAGAAGGCTTTCCCACCCTGCCAACACAGGAGCACAGCCCACCCCCAGGGGGACTCAGTCTCAGGCCCAAGCTCAGCAATGATGGCTATGCATGAATTTTCCAGGCAGGATAACAGTACTGGCTTTACAAAATGGTGTGGCTTTTCTTAAATAAAGGGAAGAGATTAAATGGCATTATATGAGTCTCATGCAGAGATTTAAGGATCTTGGTAGAGCACTGCTGATCTTGAACAGGCAGCTCAAATAAGCTTAACACGTGACTTTCATGGAAAGAATTAAACTGTTGCCAAGTAAAGTGTCTCAAAGAATTGGAATCCTGTCAAACCAGCTTAACACCATGAAATGGTACAACTTAATGAGAGACACTGTAAATCCTGAGGATTACAATATACAGCTCTCTCTCTAAAGACTGATTTCACAAGTGGTTTAGTATCTTTCCTGGGTGTGCATACACATACAGTGGTAGGTGAAATACTGTAATTAAAAACTTTTTAAAATTTAACTAAAACATCTACTGTCCATTTCTTTTGAATCTCTGTATTAATTTCCTTAAGGGAAAAATAAGACCTCAACTGATACAATCATGGTAAATGGACAGTTATCTCTGAATATCTATCCCACATACAAACCTCCAGGAGATGCAAGACACATTCCTGAGCATGGAAGTGCTCACATTAAAGAAAAGAAAGCAAAACAAATCCCATGATTCTGTGCTGAACTTGAAAGATGCAGAGGCTGTACTGATCCTTGCAAATCAACCAAAGCCTAAGATCTAATCCAAAACAGACATATGAGGGAGAGAAGAGAAAAGAAAAAAGTTATTTGCAGACCAAAATTAGAGAAAAAGGAGGGCTGCAAGGAAAGCCAACATTTTGGCCCTAACCTTCTAAGATCAATTAAGACTCAGGACATATGAGAACTTGTACTGTAACGTCATGTACCTCAGTAGTGTCCCAAATTTTCTGATCAAGAAGATTATGGGGCCAAAGAGGAAAGTGATCGATGATGTAGAGTGTGCCTAAGGAGAGTCACATGGAGAGAAAACACTCTCTCAGGCTTTCACAGAGAGCACATTGGCCAAGCAACGGCCGTGACTCATCCACATGGCTGACACTGACAAAGGTTCTACAATCTGAGGTAAAGGATCTCAGGATAAATCCTGAGGGGATTTCACTGACCTTATCAGACCCAAAAGCTACAACTCTTGTTGCATAGGTCCTGCTTTACCTTGGTCTTAACCATCCAGTAGAAAAGTATGAAGACAAAATATAGGAAGTAAAGCCATGTTGTTATGTTGAGCTGTAGAGGACTCAGGTCAATAATTTCTGACATTGCCAGTTAAACAGAAGACCCAATGTTATTATGGGCTACTGGACTCTTTTAGAATATTTTGCTGAGTTTACACACCTATAATATTCAATAACGGAACTTAGAAAAAATGGGGTATACCAATGAATGTCCATTTTGTATCTGTGTATTTAAATTGGTTGGGATAGATATATAGTTGCATTCTCTTAATGAATAGAATGATTTGTTCTAATGGTGTTTGTAAATAGGATCTCAAGTCCGCATCTTGTACAGCAATTAACCACTAAGAAGAATATATGCAGTGTGTTGGTTATTGAAAAAAAAAAAAAAAAAAGAAAGAAAAAAGTTTTGACTAAAAGGAAAAGGGAAGAAATTCAAATCCAGTAATATTTGCTTCTTCTAAAGAAAGTGCAACAAATACTCACCGGTCTACTGCTTCTACATCAAAGCAAAATCTCTTCTCAATAGAGTCTGTTTTCCGCCGTGTGCAGGACTTGAGGGTGACTGACTCATCTTCTCCCTGTGAGAAGACACAGGTTACTGAAGTGAGGCCAGAACGTGAGATCTGCTCCTCCCTGGGACAAGCATAGTACATGAACGGAAGATGACGTCACCGTCACAAAAATGAGTGCTCATGACCAGGTGAGAAGAAAAGATGATCACAAACATTCTCAGGTAAGAAGCTTCTGAAGTGAAAATCTGGAAATTCTGCTACATGTAGAATCAAACACCTTTAGTACTTGTGGGTCCTGATGGTATACAAAAATTTATAGTGGATGCAGAGAGTTCTTGTTGATACTGTATTAACTAGGTTTAATTTGTAGATTTGTTAAGAGTAGAGAAAGATGGGCTCCTAAGACTGAGCTTCTCTAAACTTAGGCCAGTCATCACTTCAAGAACACCTTCCTAAAAAAAAAAAAAAAAAAAAAAA